CCCCAAAACCCCAAAACCCCAAAACCCCAAAACCCCAAGATTTAAGAAGAGATTGGATTATATAATTTATCATTTTAAATAATTAGACAATGTCTTTATTCAAAAAGAAAGGAAAGAAAGCCAGGAAGGGCAAGAAAGAGGTAAACAAAATGCTATCAAACTCTGTATTATCTCATAACGTTATTAATGATTGTTTACAGGAGAACAAGAATAATTCTGTCAAGCACACATCTAAGCCCAGCTTTGACCCAGATGAAGAGGATGAAGAAGATATTTTAAACTCTCTAGGTATCAACAAGAAGAAGTCTATCGTTAAAAAGACCAAACATAAGCTTAATAAAATAAATTATGATGAAGAAGAAAACTCAAAGAATGTGTACATCCCCAAGAAAACTAAAAGTATGGCAAATGAATCTGCATTTACCAGTGTTTATGGGCAAAATAATCAGGGAGATAATTCTCATAATGAGGATGCTAGGCCAACTTATTCTTCTGGAGAGCTTGAGAAGCTTAAGGATTCACAATTTCAGTCTAACAAGACTGCTTCAGAACATATTCAGATGTTAGAAGCTAAAGCTGAGGCCTACCAAACTGATGAGAGCGCAATGCCACCTCCTGACAAGATTGAAAATGAAGAATTCACCCACGACGAACAAGACAAAATGAAGAAAATCATTGATGTTAGGAAGAAAAAGAAACTCGCAGAATCTGGTCTTGCAATGAACACCAAAAAGGCTGAATTCCTTGCTCCAAAAGATGTTCAAATGGCAGAAGAAGACATCTCTGATCTCAAGCAAGGCATTCAGGATATCTATACCATAAATACTGATAGAAATGAAGTCCTGCTTGAAGACTTTGGAGATGGAGAAAGCTGGATTGATAACCAATTACAAAACGCTCTTGGAGCTGGGAACCACGACTCTGATGAGCATATGATATCCTTATATAACTCTTCAACGAATGAAGTGACATTCACAGATAGTTCAGAAATGAGATCCATTAAGTTCAGCATGGGAAAATCAATCGAAGAATACCAAGGAGACCTAGAATACGAAGTTAGTAAGCTAGAAACCTCTATCACTAACAAAAAGAGCATGCTTGCATCAATTGAAAAAGGGATCAAATCTCATGAAAAAGAAATAGAAGATTCCTCCAAAATGATCCAAGAAAGCACACAGGGGTTTAAACTTCTCATGGAGTTTGCAGAAGCATTGGAAGACCTCACTGAACTTATGGACGAAAAGCAAAAGGAAATTGATAATGTCTATCATAACTTAAAATTAGTTGAGAGTCAGCATTTGGAAATCTGTGAAGATGTCAAAAAGAAAGACACCACCTCGCAAAGTTCAATGGGAAACAAAAAGGCAGGACTAGGGTTTACAACAAGGCCTCAAATAATGCACAGCGCTGTGAATTCAATCAGAGTCTTAGAAAAAGAGCACCAAAAAGATATAGAAGCTGCTCAAAGCACTATAAAAGATATTCTAAGTAAAGTAAAAGAAGAGTACAAGTATCCACAAACTCTGCTGGAAACAATAAAACAGGTCTATCAAAGCTATACTTCAACAGAAGGTTTCCCATTTGATTTTGATATTAGAGATACCTTTGACATTCTTTTACCATATGTCAAACTAAATTTGATAGAGAATTACACTATAAGAGAGTCAACAGGGTCTATTACCTCAATCACAAATCCAACAAAGTTAAAACAGTACTTGCTTTCCTCCTCAAATCCATACTACTCCTTTACAGAGGAGTGAAAATCCCTTTTGGGTAAAGAAAGTGTAAAAGAGTCGTCAAAAATAGATCAGCTGTGGATAAATATTGTAACTAGTCTGCTTTCAGGATCCTAGCATTTTCATGATGAAATAAATAAAGTTACTTCCAATGACTTCAGACAATCAAGGGGTTTTGGGGTTTTGGGGTTTTGGGGTTTTTGGGG